CTTTTATAGTTTATATTTATTAGCATTTTTATACACACACTCACACATACACACACCTCTAAATATTAGGATGCCTTAATAAATGATTCTCTCTCATCATTGATATTTCAATCTCTCTCCCTCTCCCTTCCTTTGTGAAATCAATAAAATATATATTTTAAATAAATAAATAAATAAATAAATAAATAAATAAATAAATAAATAAATATTATGATGCCTTATTTTCCAGGTAAACCCTGTGATTTCTGTTTCAAGGAGATGGTCATTGAAAAGAGTGATGTTCCCTGGAATAGGAAACTTAGAAAAGCAAACCTGAAATTCTCAAGTGTGGTGATTCAGGACAGCTTGCTGGGTTACGTGACAGGGTATGGTTACTTCTAACAGGAACTGTCTGTTCTCAAGTACAATTCATTGCAACTGAGTTGTTGGAAACTTTGTTTTGTTTCATATTACCAGCTTCTGAAAGAGGTCAGTATTTGTGAGGTTTCAAGAAGTTTCCTCTGAAGTCAGCACTCCAATAAAACATGAACTAGATTTACTCAGTACCCATGGAATTGGCCTGAGGACTTATTTCTGTAGCTCTGAAATCTGAGGGGGCTTTCCTCTTCTGGGCAAGTTCCCACTTTTTCACCATTTATGTTGTTAGTAAAGGTTATCTAAACATCATCATGTGATTAGAAAGGTAGTCATGAGATTATGATTGAGTATGATTCCAACCAATGATTTTTTATTGAAAACAATTTTTTTAATACTTGTAAGTTTTAAGCTTTAAAAATTAAAAAATAGGTGAACTGAAAGAGTTTTATTATAAGTATGAGTTTTAATCTCAGAACTACTTTAAAGGAGTAATAATTAAGCTTTTGAGAATGTATCTGGGCTCTCAAAATTCTAAATGTTCTTGTTCTCTAAAAGGATTAGTTTTCTGATTTTTCTAATAAGCAAAATTATAAGAGCATCTAAAATCTTGACAGTAAAAATAAAAATACTTGTAAGTAAAAAAGGTCATTGGACTATGAATATTTCTTTTTATTTATTAACTAATTATTTTTTATTAATAAGGGATGATAATTGTATTAAGCCTGATCTGTGAGAATTATTTTGGTCCTATTCAAACAACCACTTTGTTACCATTCTTTTATTTTGGCGGTATGTTAATAACTTCAAGGGGAAGGGTACATACTCCATCACTGAAGTTCTTTTGTTAATCCTGAGGCAATGTTGCCTTCAATCAATCTATCCCTCACTCACTCACTCACTCAGGCTCTGTGAAGCAAGCAGAGTTCAAAATGTGATTTTTTAAAAATAGACTTAAGCTCCAAATGAAGTTTCTCTTTAGGCAGCTTTTCTATCCCCTGGCAGCAAATAATGAAGATTCATTAAGGGGAAGATTGCCATCTTTAAAAATGTATTAAGAATCAAGTTTTTAAACCTCAGTGAACCTCATTCTGATTATTTTACCAGCCTCCAACTGCTTTTCAATGAAACTGATTGTCATCATCAGAAACCCAGTGAAGGGAAACATTGGAAGCTGTATTTTATTTATTGCGCTTATCTTTAGCCAAGTCTCCCTCTCAATTAGAACCTCAAGGGAGATTCTCTTGCCTTTTCTATCCACCATGTCCTGGTATCTTGATATGAATTATTTTCTTGAACTCCTTGGCATGTAATACACACTTTACTTATCTCTTGGCCCCAGTAGGAAGTCTTCTTCATAAATAATATATAGCTCTTTGGCCTATTCAATAGAAGCATATTGCCCCTCACAAACCCAGCTTCTTGAATATCCCTAAAGTGGATGTGTGTTGCACTGCCCAGATCCACCTCTACGATCAAGACGCTCATTTCCATGGTTGTGGGAGTTTTGGCTACTGAGGGCTCACAACGCAATTCTCCCTCAGGGATTGCTCACCACCAAAGGAAGCTGCCTCATCCAAGGTCCACTTCTCTTCCCCAAGAGGTACCCACATGCAAAAAAGTAACCATGTACAGGATACAATTGTTCTCTCTTCTCAACTTAAGACAAGTTTGAAAGAACATCCTAGCTCTAAAGCTACCCATGGAATTCACAGAGGCCTTTGTTGTCACTGCCGCACAGGTCCACTTCTCATGCCCAGTCCTGCTTCTTTACTGTGCCAAATGTGTCAATCCCAAAGACACTTCACAGAGAATTTTCTACATGCTAATCTCTACTTCAGAGTCTGCTTCCTAGGAAGCCTGACCTGTGAGAATTCTTTTGGTCCTATTCAAACAACCACTTTCTGTTATTCTTTAATAATCTCAAATTTTGGTGGTGACTATATAGTTATGGTAGACTAACTTCTGTAATAAACAATTCCAAAATGTTAGTGGTTTAACACAACAAAATGTGCTTCTTACTCATTTTGTGGTGCATAGAAGTTTAATGGTGAGAGGAGCACTTATTTAGGGATCCAGACTCCATCCATTTTTTATTTTATTTTATAAAATATATTTTATTGATTTTATACAGAGAGGAAGAGAGAGATAGTTAGAAACATCGATGAGAGAGAATCGCCGATCAGCTGCCTCCTGCATATCCCACTGGGGATGTGCCCGCAACCAAGGCACATGCCCTTGACCGAATCGATTCTGGGACCTTTCAGTCCGCAGGTTATTAGGCTCTATCCACTGAGCCAACCGGTTTCAGCTCCATCCAGTTTTTGGCTCCACCCTTTTCTAAGAGTCTTGTCCTGCTGCTGAGAGATAAGGAAAGACAATAAGAAGAATGCATGGAAGGTTTGATGGCTTGAAAGGGTACACATCAATTCTACTAACATTCTATTGGCCAGAACGCAGTTATACGACCATACTAAGTTAAGGGAGGCTGATGATCACTAGCAGTCTTTGCCACTCCATTTATGGGATACTTGTGATTTTCAAATATTTCCTTTTCCTTGACAGATGACATCTTTGTATAATCCTTCAACTTGTAAGGACTGAAAACTCTGCCTTTACTAAATACTTTAAAAATAGTCATGATCCCACCACTTTAATAAAAATCAATGTAGGTTTTGTATGTGAGTGTACTTATGTGTGTGTATATCTTTAACAAATAAGAGCTTTTTAAAAAAAGAATCATAATATTATTATATCTAATAAAATTGATAATTATTTACTATGTCTAAGATTTAGTATGTGTACACATTCATTTGGTTGTTTTTCAACAGTCTTTTTCTGAAGTTCTTTTAATTCCTGGACAGTTACTGATAGATATGTCATAGTTGCAGCAACTGGCCATGTCAATGTTCCACCTAAAGAGCCCTTCTTAAAACTTCTGTGGGATCTATTTACTCCTTCTCTTTGAACTATTCTGACTGATCTTGTTACATTTATAGTCAGGCCATTTTCAAAACCATTAACTAAACCTTTTTGTATTCTCTGAGGCCAGCTGGTAGTTTGTGTTTTCTTTTCTACAGATAATCTTCATCCATTTTCTTAATAATCACTCTTTCAACCATGGTACTGCCAAGTCTTTCCTTAGCAACTCTTAGAAATGCCACAAGGCTTGTGGCCACTCCTGCTATAGCTATAGTCCCTTCAAGACTAATATGATTTACAGGAAACTGCTTCTGTACTCTCAGAAAAACAAACCACTTCTTTAAAAAATTCCCCAGTCTGAAAATACAGACATATGTTTACTCAATAACTTGTTTCAAATAGCACCTGTCTTCAGGTTATGCTTTGGATGTTATATAAAACTGTGGTACATTTACACTATGGAATGCTATGCAGCAATAAAAAAGAAGGATTTCTGACCCTTTGAAACAGTATGGAGGGACCAGGAGAGTATTATGCTAAGTGAAATAAGCCTGTCAGAGAAAGAAAAGTATCACATGATCTGGCTCTTAATGTGTAACCTAATGAACAAAATAAACTGATGGCCTAGCCAGCATGGCTCAGTGGTTGAGCGTCAACCTATGAATCAGGAGGTCGGCGGAGGACAGTGATCAAACTAGTCCAGTGACCCTGAAGCAAAGGCACATACCTCAGTGTCACCCTTACGTGTCTGCCCTCTGTCCTTGAGTCATAGTTAGTGGCTTTGTGGGCCCAGGCACATAGTCTTACACCCTACAGCAGAGGCAGGACACCAGCCATAGATGCATCGTCGTAAATGGAACAGTTGCCATAAGATTTCCCTTTTGAGTGTCCAGGAGTCAAGCCAGGCCCCGAAGATGCGGACCATCATTCCGGCTTAGGGTGGGTGACACCCCAAAGGTGCTTCTCCCCTTCGTCCATAACTGGGTGGCAAACCTTGGCTCAGCTCCGCGGGCTGGCCACCTCTAAGGGCCCACAGAGGTGACCCTGGGACGAAACTCGGAGCCTGTGCTGTGAATTGGTCGACCCCTGATTTCGCATCCCTTCGCCCTGAAACCTCAGGGCCTGGATCCAGTCCCGCAAAAGCGCCCATTCCCGGGAGCCACAGAGGAAGGCACTGGCGCGCGCGCTAAAATCAAACTCCACGCCGGCTCGCTGGGGGCCGGGCCGCGCGCGCTCCACTCCCCGGGAGGCCCCGCCGCGCCCGCCGTCCGCCCACGCCGCCCGCCGCCCGCCGCCCGCCGCCGAGCTGGGCGGGGCCGCCCCGGGGCCGCCGGGAAAGGCCCGCGGAGGAGGAAGCGGCGCGGAGGCGCTCTCTGCGCAGGCGCGCGGTGCCCCGCCCCGCCCCCCTGCGTCGGCTTAAGGCGGGCGGCGCGGGCCCTCCCACTCCTCCCCGCGCCTCCCGACGCCCCTGCCCCGGCTTCACCCCGACGTCCCGGCGCGCGCGTCTCCCGCCGGCTCGCAGGATCGGGGCCTCCGCTCGCCCGCCCACCCGCCCGCCCGCCGCTGCGCCTCGCGGCCCCCCGCTCGCGTTCACGCTGTCGCCTGGGCCGGCGCGGCCGCGGGCAACCGCTCCCCCTCCCGCCCCCACCCCGCCCCCTCCCCGCCTTTTCCGCCCTCCCGTCCCCCTCCCCCGGCCCGCGGCCGCTGCTGCTCCCGATGAGGTGATGGCAACGGCCAACTTCGGCAAGATCCAGATCGGCATCTACGTGGAGATCAAGCGGAGCGATGGTGAGCTGCGCCGCCGCCGCCCCTGCGGCCGGCTCGGCTCCGACCCGGGCGGTCGGATGTGCCTCCGAGGGACGCGGGCGCCGGCCGCCGCATTGATGGCTCCGCGGGGCTGTGGGGGCGGGAAGGCGGCGGCCGCGGCGCTTTTGTGTGCGGCGTGTGTGTGTGTGTGTGTGTGTGTGTGTGTGTGTGTGTGTGTGTGCGCGCGCTGCGGGGTCGGCCCGGGGTTCGCCGCCGGAGCCGCCGCAGTGCCGGGGGCTGGGCCGGGGGAGGCCGGCGCGGAAGGCCCGGCTGTCGCGGTCCGAGTGGTTGGGGGCGCGGTGCAGGGTCCCCGGGCCCCTCGCATCCCCCGCGATCTCCATCCACCCTCCCCGGGGACTCCAGGCCGGGGCGGGGGCGGGGGGTGGGGACGGGCTGCTGCGGTCTCGGTGAGGGATGACCCGCCCTCGCGTTTCACCCTCGGGTTCTTCTCATTTTCCGGCCTCATCTCCGCGGCATGGGGGCTGGGGAGAGCGTGGAGACGGACCGGTGACTTCGGCATTTCGAGGACCCTGCTGGGCCGGGGCCGAGGCGGAGGGAGGAGGAGGCCGAGCCCGTTGGTGTGAACCGCTGTGTGGTTGGCAGGGTTCCTCGGCTTTTCGTTTCTCCAACATGCCTCCTGTTCTGCTGGTCCCTTCTTCCTCGGGAGGATGCAGAGGGCCGCGCTCGGCCATGCATAAGGGTGGGGTGCAGGGGAGAGAAGTGTTCCATTAGCTTCTCAAAGGCAGTGGTACTCGATCGGAAGGGAAGGGAAGGAGAGGAGGGAGAGGAGCCTAGTCCCTGCAAGGACTGGTGACAGGGTAGGGGTGGGAGACTGGATGTGGATGTTTTCACCCGCTTAGGAGAAGGTAACAGAGCAAAGTGTAAGGCCAGGTGCAGATACATGCCTAATGAGAGAAAAATCAAGGCCTTAGGTCCTTGTGTCTTTCTGTATAGGCTCCTCTTGGGACAATGTTTTCTGTCACTAGCCTGAGGGGTGGAGTGAGACGCCAGCCAGGCTTGGGGATTATTTATGTTGTCCCGGAGAAAACGCATAGAAAGAATTGGAGGTGTGCGGTGTACATTAGTCTTACACCCATACCTGTAATTTACGGCTTATTAGTCACTCGCCTTTGTCAGTAGTAATGTTGTTGTCACTTCCCCATCCTCTTGGTTTCTACCAAGTTTGACCAAGTTATGAGGAACTAGATTGATTTTTTTTTTTAACCTAACATTTGTGACATATTGGAAGATCTATACAGTTAATGATTTTTTCCCCCCTCGGTTATATTTGAGGTAATTTGTATTAATGACTGGGAGCATCATTATCCTATATGTGAAAAGATAAATTATACCACTTAGAGCTTTAGGAGTTACCAGTGACAGTAGTGAGAAAGAGATGTTTCCTTTAGTTGGGTTGGGGTTTCTTTGTATTACTATCTTCAAATTACTTTCCTGAAACGGTGCTGAAACAGTCATCTCTTAGGTGAACGTGAGTTCACTGTATACTAGTGAAAGTTAAGAATGGCATATTATTTAAAATTTTGGAGTGGCCCTAGCTGGTTTGGCTCAGTGGATAGAGCCTTGGCTGCTGTCTGAAGGGTCCAGATTAAGTTCCGGTCAGTCAAGGGCACATGGCTGGTTGCAGGCTCCATCCCCAGTTGGGGGTGTGCCTCAGGCAACCAATCAGTGATTCTCTCTCATCATTGATGTATATCTCTCTATCCTTCTCCCTTCCTCTCTGAAATCAATAAAAATATATTTAAAATAAAAATTTGGAGTTAAATAAAAAGTGTAAGTTTTTAACTATGATTATAGGTGTTTGTTTAAAATCTATTTAAAAACAGCAAACAGGATCATGACATTTGGAGGGTGTGTGTGTGTGTGTGTGTGTGTGTGTATGTATGTGTATCATCTGGACTAATGTCATTTTATTTAAACATATGGGACTTGAAACAATTTTGGTTCCCTTAGGGTTCTAGGATAGAGGCATGTAATACCCTTTCAGCCTTCATCTTCTACTTCACTGGAAACTCATGCATGTAAGAGCTTTGTGTTCCTAGGCAAGTGCTAGTAACCTAAAGTCAGATTTCAAAACAGTTTTCCCATTAGAAATAATGGAAGTCATTACAGTGTGTATTATCCTAACCTAGTCATGCACATCTTTGTGCACCTCACAGATGCATGATGGTTTTTGATGGAAGGTAAAAGTGAAATAGAGAACTTGAAGAGAATGATTATTTGGATGGTAGTGTTTGACAGTGGATATTGATGTGTTGGAGACTCCCCCTTAAGCTTTGCCTTTTTCACTTTAAAGAAAATGTTTTGTTTCCTCTCACTTAAATAGCAGATCTGTATTTTGGCAAAAGCACTAGTGGTTATTGTATCAAAAATAAACTTTGTAGTTGGATGAGCACTGTTGCCACTGTGTGATTGCATGAGACAAGGGAAATCACTAGTGAAGAGGGGATGCTATTACCTGGTGACTTGATGCTTACTAATGGTGATCTTTGTCCTTGTTTTAGAGTATGCTTTTCCCATCTGTGATGCTCTTTATTAATAAAACATATTCCAAGGGCAAATAGGTAAACTAAGTGGATTTATTCCTATCTTTTAAGATCTTGCTCAAAGCTAGTTACTAAAACCAGATGGCCAGTTAGTCTTTGAATTCCTAAGTCATTTTGTATCACTCATGAAACAGCATATTTCCTTAAGTATTAATATTTTGGTTTATTTATCTTAATATTGTTTCAAACTGCACTATAGAAGGGGTAGAGTAGAGAATGCAATAGAAAGATGGCAGGCTACCCACACTCATTTCAAACAGTGTCTTACAGGATTAAAATAACTAATTGATTTTTAAGTTCCCTGAATTCATTTGTGTACCCCCCATGTACCTAGCAGAGTTCCTTGCATGTAGTTTTTAGTAAATCATTCATTATTGGTTTTTTGCTTTTCAAATATTTTTTCAATATATTTTTTATTGACTTCAGGGAGGAATGCAGAGGGAGAGAAAGAGAAATACCAATGATGAGAGTCACTGATCGGCTGCCTTCTGCGCACCCCATACTTGGGATCGAGCTAGGCATTCAACATTATTTTAATTCAGATGAACTCTTACCAGGAAATGAAATCCTCCATGTATGCTCATCCTGTATTGACACTTCCCTACTCTAGCCCCCAACATCCCATATAGGCGTTTTAGTTCTGAATCCCCAGAGTTGGATGAAATTGAGTGATCTGATAAGGCAAATCTACTTATGGTATTTTAAGGTTAGATGTGAAAGAGGTTAGATTTGGACTTCTGAGATTGCTCCCAGCTAAAGGAGATAATATGGTATGAAATAAGACTGATTTCTGCAAATGGACACTCATGCATAATTTCTTTTCTTATATATGGCATCCTATTATCTTTCTGATTCAAATCCTTCTTAGAATTCAGTGACTAAAAACTAAACTACAATCTTAACTATTGTGTGGCAATATAGTTGTTTAGGGACAGTTATGTTATTGATGTTGATGGAGTGAGTGGAATGGGGTAATTTATGGATTAATAATTTCCTTTTACATGGTGGTTCCATATATGTATTTGGTAGGCCTTCATAGTTTTTCAAACAGGTTATCTAATTGGATCCTCACCAAAACAGTATGAGATAAGCAGGGTAGGAAGCTAGTAGATTCAGCATGATACAAGCTCATCTAAGGTTGAATTATTTGCCAAAATGACTTGGACCACTCCTAGCTCTCTCTTTAAGTGCTGGCAAATATTTACTGTTGATGATAGGAAGTTATACACTATTGTTTGTTTTTATTTTTTTTAATCCTCACCTTGAGTATATGCTCTGTTGACGAGAGAGAGTGGGAGAGAGAGAGAGAGAGAGAGAGAGAGAGAGAGAGAGAGAGAGAGAGAGAGAGATAGATATCAGTGTGAGAGAAACATTGATCACTTGCCTCTTGTTCACACCAGGAACTCACAGCCTGGACTGGGAACCGAACCCACTACCTTTTAGCTGTACAGAATGACTCTCCAATCAACTTAGCCACCTAGTTAGGGCCTTTGTTTTGTTTTTTGAAATACAAAAGATCCTGTAGTAAAATTCTTTTTTCCTACTACCACCAGAGGCTCAGAAAACCTACAATAGATAACATTGCTTAAAATTTGCCTAATTGGTGAGATCAAACTAAATTCTGACTATAAGAATTGAGATTCAGCAAAGTACTCAGCCTTTAAAGCTCTTTTCAATCATCAGCCATTACCTGCTTCCAGAATTGCCACAGAAAACTAGGAATCTGGATTCATTACTCAGTCACTTTATTCTCATGACAAAAATTTTGGAATTCTAGTGAAAGGTTGGCTATGTGTCAACTTGTTTTATGTGTCATAATTTTAAAACTGGGGAAAAATAGCAAAGACCAGTTAAACCCGTGTCTGTTCAACCAGGTTGTAATACTTTTCCACAAGGCGTGAGTGTGGAAAATCCAGTACTCTTTGAGAGATCATCTGGACCTATTCTTTCTAGTCACAAGTATATCATTAAAATTATCTGAATCTTTTGCAAAGCTTAATTTTTTTTATTCATCTCTCTCTTTGGTTTTAACACTTCTGTCCTATAAACTAAAATAATCTTTGAAAGTGTTTGTTTCGATATCATAGTTATGATCTTAATAGATACAATTTTTAAGCCCTGGATAAAACTAATTTTCACTTTTCTAGTCCAGTTGTGGAGCAAGTATAGTTTAGGTTGCCCTTCCATCACATACCAACTCTTGATAAAAGTAATACTAATGTTATTATGGTGCCTGAGTGAAAATAGATATTAGAATCTCGGCATATTAAACATTTAAGTACTGGATTACACAGAGTGCATGCTGTAACATGTATTTAATATTGAAAGCTATATAAATTCTAGTTTATGGTCATTGGGATTTGTGAAGTGAAGATTTAAACTAAACAAAATGTAATATCATTTCATTGTTGATAAACC